TTTAGGGTGGAAGCCTGCTTGTCATACTCATGCAAGGAGCCCTTGACATCAATCAGACTTTTTTGTAAGAAAGAGAGCAGCACCTGGCCCTCTATTTTTATTACACTCTGCACTGAAGTTCGAAAATGCTCAACTTCACACTTTTGCATGCAGGGTTCAATAGGGTAACCATACAAGAGCTAACAGGAGTGCAGGGAGGGAGAAAGGTTTTGCCGAGATGGATTTAAAAAGATATTTTTGCCTCTGAGACACATGAAATCAAAGGACAAACCAAATAAATAAATGTCCCACCATTTTGTTTGTCTGAAAATCCCACTTTGATGAGCTTTAAATCTATTTAACTCACTTCAGTAATCTTCATTATATTAAATTAGAAATAGTTCAAACATGCTTGCACCCCACGTTTTCAGGTGCTGCATCTTAGAGAACAGATTATGTCCCATTTAGGCCTAAACTACCAGAAAGTTTGAAATGGGGAAAGCAAAGCATTAGAGAGGTAACGAAGCAAAGCAGGAAAATAAATTATGTTGTTCTAGTGCAGGGAGTTTGGAGGACTCCTGTCAATTGTGCTTTCAGCAAAGCTTACCATGCCCACTGATTTATTTTCTTCCCGACTGAATACCATCTCTCTCACAATGTTTGCAGACTGAAACATAAAATGTTACAACCTGTAGCATGAGGCTGCCTCAGTGTCTGCAAGTCCTCTCGGTCCATTTCCAACCAAGTCACACCTATATTCAAAATGCACCTTCTTCCAATCCCACAAGGAGATAAGGAAGTGAAGAAGCTCCCCTACTGAAATAGGGAGTGATGTTATTTATGTGCATAACGTGCCACAGCAAATTCCAGGCCACTTCTAAACGTGCAGAAGAGCTGGGGATTATTTAAGCAACAGGAAGATTACTCTCCATGGGAACCAAGAGGAGAGTGTTCTGTAAGGAACCACAGAGGCCAGCTCGCAAAAATTAAAAAAAACCACTAGCTGCTTGCCAAGACTTCCTTAAACAGTGTGTGTCTAGGTCGCATTCAGAGGGTATACAGATATACAGCTGCTCTGGTCCGCAACTAATACCCTCCTCAAGCCTTTGATCGCTGTGTATGAAATCCAGTTCACCTTCTCTCCATGTTCTATGCTTAGTTTTGGTAAAACTCGGGCATGTTCATTTGTAACCATGGTGTTGGGCTCTCCACCTCTCTTGGGGGAAGCTGATGTTCTGGCCTTCCTCCGGTGGATGGATTTCACAGGACTCTTCAATTGCTTCCCGGCTTCACTGCCGACATCCCACAGTAACACCCTTCCATCATTTCCTCCAGAAAGCAGCCAATATACATCTGGCAAAAAGAGGACCTGAGACACGCCCAGCGTGTGAGCCTTAAACCCCAGCTCCTGTTCAAACTTGACCCCTGTTACTCGGAAGATCCTGATTTTACCATCTTCAGCTCCACAACTAAAGACATTACCGCATGCTGCAACAGACAGAGAATGGGCGAGGGGAGGGTTAAAGAACTGGCCAGCTGATTGTTGTCCCACTTCCTCTGCTTCGGTCTCCTGCAGGGTCGTGGTCCACAGTGGGCGAGCTTTCTGCAGGTTCCACAACATAACCTTCAAATCAAACCAAACAAATCATTAGAACTACATCTGCGGAAACAGCCCTCCTTAGAATAGCTAAGGCTTAACCCTGGAGGTGAAGAGACCACCCTGAATGTTTGGAGGCATCAGGGAGAGGGAGCCATGACAAACTGACAATTGTAGCTATGTAACTGAAAACACACCGATGTAACTGGGAATGAGAACAGTGCTGAGAATCAGATACTTTCTCTGCAGGGACCCATTTCATTTCCCGATCTATAAAATGGGAAGAACACCTACTTCATGGGGTGGGAGGGTAGGTTGATGACTTCATAGGAGATAATGCTGAACACATTTAAATACTATGTAATTATGAACCAATTTCAGGATAACATACTAACAGTTCAGGAGAATCCAAACCTCTGGCTACTATGCTAGGGCCACATTAGGAGTGTTGGAGAGCCATGTTAACAATCCCAGAATGGAGGAGCAGCACAGCAAATATCATCTAACAACTCATATCGAGTAGACATTTAAGTTTTCTAGCCATCATCCACCTTCTACTATAAAAATCACCTTCATGTCCAGTCCACAAGACACAAGGCTTTGAGGGCGCTGAGGCCGAAAGGCAACAGAGGAGCAGATGTTTGAATGCCTCCTCAAGGACCGGCTGACTTTCTTATTTTCCAAGTCCACAATTTTTATCGCCCCAGAGTCATCTGCAGCAGCCAGGACACTGTCAGTCTCATTCACTGAGAGGCAATTGATCTCTTCCTCATTCAGATGGAAGCATTCAGCTGGCCCTTTAAGGAATCTGACATCCAGCACGCTAATGGTTTCGCCGTGGGAGGTGTACAGCCTGCTGGGGCAGGTGGGAGAGAACACAACACAGGTGACATCATCTGCCCTTGGGAGCTGTATCTGTTCTAAATGAATCCCTTCCTCGTTCCACATTGAGAGTTCTCCTCTCTCTGCTCCAGAAGCCACCAGACCGTCTTTGTTTACATTCAAGCACAGTACAGAAGAGGAATGTCCATCCCGCCACTTGACTGCCATGATTCTTCGGGGAGTCTGTGAATGAAAACAAATTGATGCATGAAGAATGCACATGTGCTCGGCTGACTCAGTAACGTGTCCTGTATGAGATGTTAGTGTCCCTACGGTAAAACAGACACCTGTAAAGGTAAACTTGTGAACTGGAACGTGGGCTCAAACAGTACTGACATTTTGTATCATCCCTCTTTGCTGCTTCACCATGAGAAGTGCTGCGCCTGGTTCCTGAACTATACTAAAGCACTGTCTGCTAATCTTGAGTAGCTGTCCAGATGGAAGGTACTTCAGCCATGACCCCTGCAGAGCACTCAGTACAATGGGGTTCCACTCTCTGACTGGTGTCTCTACGTGCCATCACAACACGCAAGTTAAAAGTTTCTAATGCACTTACTGAAAAGAGCAGCAGGAAAGGAAGTCTTGGGACTTGTCTACACGGAGTAAGAAAACTGTATAAGACAAAGTTCTAGTCTTCCTAAACAATAAGCTTATTTTGATGCTTATGGTAGAGTTTGCATGAAGTAACATCACAGTACACTGAAGGAAATAGTTTAGCTATACACAGCAGAACCCACACATCAGAAAGGAAACAACATCCAAAGATGGTATACGGAAAAAATGAAAAGTCACCAAGGACTATCTGTGAAGACAGAATGACGTAAATTGGTGGAGTTCAGAGAAGAGCTGAACAAGAGTTAAATATGAGCTCGAGAAGTAATCTGTGGTGCAGAGGAACTGAAGGAGAAAAGACTGAGGTGGCTGCTCCAGCCCAGCTAACCTGCTGCACTGCAAGCGGTGGGGCTGCCCCCACACAAACATAGTGTTGAACCAGTTAACTTTTTAAATGACACTTTACATCGCTAATTGGTGGCTGGTTCAGACTTCTCAGAGCCTGAACTTCAGCTAACTTGAAATGTGCTTGATGATCATGTTTATCCTTATTAGTTGGGAGTCATCAGCAAGCATGTGTATAGCTCTGCTCCTGCAAATGGATCCACCTAGAAACACCCCGCCACTTGCATAAGTCACATTGTAGGCTGGAGCTGAAAAGCGCGTTGTAAGCAGATTGACATGCCATGGCTGAAACACAAAGACATTCAGCGCTTCAGCAGTTTGGCATTCCAGCCCCATGACGTAAGAAGCACAGTCTCTACCGTAAGCCAAGCGTGAATTGCTCGGATTTTGCGGGGAGCACGTTTGCCAGCGCTGCATGGACACGGGATTTGCATTCACACCCGTATCGGCACAGGCCCCGCCCACACCCAGGAAGCCCGGCGGGGAGATGAGCGCGAGCAACGAGCGGCGATGGGGGCCCCGGGCTGAGCAGAGCGGGGAGGCAGCGGGGGGCACTGTGGGAGGAGGGGTGGGC